CAAGTTGCTTAGCTGCATATTTGTTGACTTACAAAAAAACAGTTACATAAGCCTTTATATTACTATATTTGTGGTTCTAATTTTGCCTTAGATGACTATTATCCCTAATAATAGTCTTTGCTATCTTATGATTTGTAGAGTCTTATCTTGGCACCTTGACAGTTTCAGGAACACCTATCTAATATTTGTCAGTACACTTGATTATCAGAAAGGAAAGGAAGTATCAGAGATTAAAATTAATGTCTCTAGAGTATAGAAGAGGAAGAAAAGACCTATAATAAAAATATTTGAAAAGCCGTATTATCAGTGAATACCTGGAATTTCCCCAATAATAGAACAGCTACCTCAACCATATCACTCTGGTAATGAGAATATCAGTATACCTTCTAAGTGGGGAAACATAAGTTAAAATGAGAAATAGCTTTGACTTGCCATTTCAAATTATATTTCCAGTGAGGACAGACTAAACTATAGTGCTATAGGAAACTCAGTGGGGGAGAAACTGGAAACTGCCTTCCACACTGATCCTTTTTAAAAATAGGACCACTGTGAGATATAGCATTATATAATTGTTAATTATTGTGTTTCAGTCATACAATGTTTTAATATCCATCATTCCACCAGTATAATTTCCTAGTTTCTCTCCCATCCCTTCAAGCCACCCTCCAACCCAGCCTACCTCTATGGCAGGAGCCTCTCTCTCTGTCCCTCTCTCTTTCTCTTTCTCTCTCTCATTTTAGGCCTTATGGTTTGCGATAAAGATGCTGAAAGATTATTATCTATATCCATGTACCTGCTTTCAACACTTAGTTCTTGTACAGAGTGATCGTTTCCAACTAGTATTGTCACTACTCTCCATACCCCACACCCTTGTAATTACCAACCATTGACCAGTCCTCCTGGCCTATTTTCCTTGGGTTTGGATATTAGTTTCATACTGTTTTTTTATTTGTCATAAATTAATGTAGTCAGTCTATCTCTGTCCCTCTCCTTCTGACTTATTTCACTCAGCATGATATTCTCCAAGTCTATCCATCTATAGGCAGATTTCATGACATTATTATTCCTAAAAGCTGTTCATACTGATCTTAGTCATAGAAAATAACTATGGCAGTAGTTATTGATAATAACCATATTGTCAAAAGGTTATTATTAAACTATCTGGAATCAAATAGAAGCTTCACCATTTATGATCTCTGTGACTTGAAGGATGTTGCTTTTTCTTTATCTTATCATCTTAGTCTTTACTAAAATGTGAGTAAAATGGTAAATATAACAGGATGACTGTAAATATTATACGTAATGATGAATATAAAGTACGTTTACAGGGTAGTGCTTGGGATGTTATGAATGGTTAAGAAATAGTACGAGGCATTATTATTATTGTCTTATGTATTAAATTATCTTGAGACGAGTTTTTTTTTTCTTTTTGGGTCACACGCGGCAATGCATAGGAGTCACTCCTGGCTCTGCACTCAGGAATTACCCCTGTCGGTGCTCAGGAGACCATAAGGGATGCTGGGAATCGAACCCAGGTCGGCTGCATGCAAGGGAAATGCCCTACCTGTTGTGCTATTGCTCCAGCCCTGAGACAAGATTTAGTTGAGATAGCATCTGGCAAAAATGGGTGCTGGATGAAATTTATAAAGTTATTACTCAGCCAGCAATTTCATGATGGTAGGATTGATGATTTGGATGATTCTGGTGGGAGGTATCTGGTGAACTATGTACAGGACAGTTTCTTTCTTTTTTTCCTTCTCTTTACGTGCTTCTATTTTCTTTTCTTTTCTTTTTTTAATTTTTTAAAAATTATTATTAGTAAGACACCATAAGGTACAGTTGTGGTGTGTAGCCAGGGCCACGGCTATTGGACATGTTGAGGAGAGGTATCTAGTAAGTAAGTAAAGTAAGTAAAGGCCCTCCCGTTGATCGTCGATTTGCTCGAGCGGGCCCAGTAACGTCTCCATTGGAGACTTTGTTGTTACTGTGTCTGGCATATCGAATACTCTCGGTAGCTTGCCGGGCTCTCCGAAAAGGTAAAGGCCCTCCCATTGATCGTCGATTTGCTCGAGCGGGCCCAGTAACGTCTCCATTGGAGATTTTGTTGTTACTGTGTCTGGCATATCAAATACTCTCGGTAGCTTGCCGGGCTCTCCGAGAGGGGCGGAGGAATCGAACTTGGGTCGGCCATGTTGGCCGCTTGTAAGGCGATTGTAGACTTACAAATTTTTGTGTTTGGGTTTCAATTACACAATGATCAAATACCCATTCCTCTACCAGTGCCCATTTCCCACCACCACGGATCCCAGTATCCCTCCCACCCCCCATCCCCCCATCCCACCCTGTCTCTGTGGCAGGGCATTCCCTTTTGTTCTCTCTCTCCTTTTGGGTGTTGTGGTTTGCAAAAGAGGCATTGAGTGGCAATCATGTTTGGTCTATAGTCTACTTTCAGCATGCTTCTCCCATCCTGGAAGGATCCTCCCAACACCCTTTATTTAGTGTTCCCTTCTCTATCTGAGCTCCCTTTTCCCATAGCATGTGTAGCTGGTCTTCAAGCCATGAAGCAAAATTCCTGGTACTAATCTCGGCCATTCTTGGGTGTTAGTCTCCTATTTTGTTACTTTATGTTCCCCAGATGAATGCAATCTTTCTATGCAGGACAGTTTCTTAATAACAGGATTTTCTTTTGATCAGTAGAAAGAGCTCAAGATTGCTGTTTTTATTCAGTCTTTCTCTGCCATGACAAAGTTGAGGCTTTGAAATATTAATGTTATCTTTTTCTTTTTTAATTTTAACAAAATAAGGACTAAAGATAAACTACGTGAGTAGTTGTTAATTGCAGTGTTAGAATGCGGAAGTATATCAACAACTTAAAATATTCTTACAGGTCTATATTAGTTTCCTGCATCTTCCTCTGTATTAAGGTTGCTTCACTCCTGTAACCGTACACCTGTTATAAGAAGTGTTTTTTAATAGCCACAGTCAAAATTTATTAGCTATAAATAGGAAGAACATGACTTAGAATTTCTGTGTGCATGACACAGGACTAAGACATATTTAATAGCAAAGGATGGACAGACGACTTTGCTAAGATCTAAGAATATTTCATAAAACCTGGTTGTCTTAGTCTATACAAGCGATTTGAAATGATTTAGTTTTTTTAGAACTATTCACTTGTAACCAACAGTAATCCCTATATCCTACAGAAATGAGTTTACCATTGTGGAGGATAGGGTTGAGGATTAGGAGTGGGTGTTTGGGAAGAGACAGTCTGGTGAATGTTGGGTGTTGGAATGTTGTATGCCTGAAATCCAATTATTAACGGTATTAAAAATCATGGTATCAGATATTTTTAAAAAATCAAAAACAAAACCCCAACCAGCGAGAACAGCTCTGCAGGTGTATATTGATAAAATCTATCTGCTATCTACATACAAATACATACAAAATGGGATAAGTCAGGAAGGAGGAGTTGAGGAGAAAGACTGGACTTCAGTAAGAGAAATGGCATACTCTTAAGATCTTATAACTCATGGAATAAAAACAGATAACATCTTGTTAATTCAAACTTACTCTCTAATTGGAGGAAGGCCTGAGTGTTTGAGTTTTAGAGAAAATGTTTTATTATCCAAAGCAAACATGTGGGAATCAGCATATTCAGTGTAATGAATGGGGAGTCATGTGTCTGTACTATTTCCAACACTTACTAATTTGCTGAGTAATCTTGAGCAACTCTGAGTTTTACTTCCTGGTATATATAAAGGAGGATTGTACTAGCATTCCTTCAGTATGCCTGCTGATTCTTACAGTTTGATCCCAAGTCTGTGTTATGTCAGAATTGAAACCAAACAACATTAGAGCATTACAATTGGACCAGGTAGGATGAAAAGGGTGGAGAAAACAAGAGGATCTGTGATTCTTAATTGTCATGCTGGAAAAATTTTAGTTTCTGAATGCTGTGGTAGAGACCTTTAATTATAAGGTTCCTAGGGTTGGTTCTAGGAGTACAGACTAGAAAGGAGTTTAGAAATGGGAGTAGGGTTTTTTTTTCTTTAAAATGAGAATGCATTCTATTGATAAAGTATATGGAGACAAAGATCCTTTAAACTCGTGTTATAAGCCAATGTTCTTCAAGAATGAAATAATTGTGTTTTGTGGCAGTGAAAGTTCTTTTTAGTTTTTTAGAAAGGAGTGAAGTTCAGATCTTTCCTTTAGAAAAGAGTCTTGCTATATTTGGTGTGGAGAATGGTGTGGAGATTAGATAGCTGAATAAGTAGAACTGATAAGGGACATATCTGATGGGAGAGGGAAACTGAGGAAGATTACTAAGTTTTTGCTTTGGGAAGCTAGAGAAATTGTTACAACAGTCATTGAAACAAGAAGTACAGGGAATAGGTAAATTATTATGAGAACAGTTTAATGTTTATGAAGATAACAATATTTTGGGTTATCTGAGACTTTGGTGTAGGTTATGAATTTTATCAGTAATTAGATAACATTAAATAGTTTTTAACCTCAAGTATGAATTTATAGTATATTTTCTTTGTTAATGTGAAAGAGGATACTATGGAGACTAATAATGCAGAACTTCCCTTGTAAACCAATAATATTACTCTGATGAGTCTGGCACAGTACTCAAGCATCTTTTTCTAGCCAGAGTATTTGATTGTTAGTTTGTGTATGTGTTGGTGTGTAGGAGACTTATGGTGGGGAAGGGCGGTCATGGAAAGATATGAAGATTTTCCCCCAGTGGTCTTTTGTTTGTTGTTATGCTTGTTAAAAGAAGGAAACTGAATCTTTTCTTTTATCTTATTTGTTCTGGTTTATTGTTTTTTTCTGTTTCCATGGTTCAAAGATGCAGTTTCTCCAATTCTTGATAGAAAGCATGAAAAAGTTTCTAAATGTATTTGTAGTCACATTTTGTCATTTGAAGTAGAAAAGGGGGTGTTAAATTTGTTTTTCCTTCTTAGGTGGAAATTTCAAGGCGTTGAATCTGACAAAATGATTCTTATTCATTTGCATATCAGATGCCTATATACTCTTCTTATCTGCATAGAATTTGGTGCTGTTTTATCTTCAAACACTGAGACAAAAGGTAAGGCAACAGCAGAGGAGCTTAAAATTGTGGTATTAATGTCTATAAGAGTACATAGCATATAGGCATATTAATAGGTATATTTAAGGAAGTCTACATACAAAAGTTCATTCTTATTAGCCAGTATCACATAAGAAGTAAGTGATAAACATTTTATGGGATAAAATTCAGACTAAAAGATACTTTCCATGTGTTTTGTACAGATTTTTCAAAAGATTATTGGAAAACTTATTTAAAGCCTGGAACATAACTATTAGAAGCCCGGCACCTAACTATTACAAAAATTTTAACAATCACTTAAGAAAAACATGCAGAAATTTAATTGAACTATAAAAATTACAAAATCATTGAATTATGGCTATTTAACTAATTTTATTTATATAACTATGCATTTGACAAATATTTCTAGCCATAAATGCTGAAAGAATGGCATTGTCATAAAATAATATTAATAAAAATAACATAACACTAATACCTAAGTACAGTAGAGACAGGACCAGGAGGATTGCTTCACGGTTTGATAGCCTGATTCATATGTTGTGGGAGAAGGCAGTTGGGATAGAGATGGGACCACCAAGTCAATGATCATTGGAAGAATTGCTTGGAATGGGAGATGTCTGTGAAAAGTAGACCAAGGACCAAGCATGATGGCTTCTCAGCATTTGTATTGCAAACCATAATGCCAAAAAGTATAGAGAGGGTAAGAAGGAAAGTACCTGCCATAGAGGCAGGGGGTGGGGTGGAGTGGGGCTGGTGGGAGGGATACAGGGGGCATTGGTGATGGAAAATGAACACTGGTGAAAGGATTGGTGTTCAATCATTGTATGACTGAATCTCAATCATGAAAGCTTTGTAACTGTATTTCATGGTGATTCAATAAAAAATTGCATGCATTTACCAAACTAGAATCAAAATTAAATAATAGCAAGGACAAAAAATGGTATTGTCATTTCATCCCCAATAGAGACTGTTCTTATTGGGCATGGATGGATGTTCAATATTAAATCATAATTTCTGAAAAATGTCTTTCTATATATTATGTTCCTCACCTCATTACTGATGTAAGGTATTAAAATGAATAAAGCTTTTGATATCCCAATCCAATCTTGTCTGCTCTGGTTCATAAGTGTTGTAGAATTTGAGATGTTGTAGATTTATACAACATAGGTGTTGTAGAGTTATACAATGTTATATACTTTGAGATGTTTTATAATTTAGATATAGATTTTATTTGTGATGTAAATTTTCTTTATTTCCTTTTGGGCATTATGGTTTGCAGTATAGATATTGAAAGGTTACCATGTATATGTATTCATTTACCTACTTTCAACACTCAGTTCTTGTGAAGAGTGATCATTTCTAGCTATTATTGTCATAGGGGTCCATTTTCTATCCTATCTTCCCTTTGCCTCCAACACACTTGTGGCAAGCTTCCAACCATAGACCAATCTTCCTGTCTCTTGTTATACCTGGTCTTGTTTTACCTGGTCTCATTTTGTTTTTCTTGTCTAATTGCCACGGCAAGTACTTCTAATACTGTATTGAATATTAGTGGTGAGAATGGGCACCCTTTTATTGTGCCTGATATTAGAGGGAAAGGCAACCAATCTTTATTAACAAAATACAGAAAGTTTAACCTGTAACAACATCTCAGTAATCTCTTATACAAGAGCTTAATGTCTCCATGGTCAAATTTAATAATCTCCACTAATTTTCTTCTAAGGAAACATTCTTTGATCATACTTTTAGCAAACTACTTAAAAGAAGCCATATAAAATAAATTATTGAGGGCATGGTATGGGGACAGGCTTAATAGGTGGCTGTGGAAATTGGAGATAATGGTTGTGTGAAGGTACAGTGGTAGTGGTATCAGTATTGATGTATTGAATATCTGTAACAAATCATCATGAACAACTTTGTAAACCAGTGTTCTTTGGTAATACTATAGTGTATTGATTAGAACAAAGTAATTTTCTTAACAAATAAATAAAATTAAACATGTTGCACACCTCACAAAAATAAAAGTAGAAAAATAAAATTAAATAAAGCAGAAATCAGAGGCAATTACTAGAAAAATGGCACTATTGGAGAAGACCTATAATATTATTAGTTTGGCTAGTATAAAATTACAGTAAGTGAAATTGAGTTATTTGTTTTTATTACTTTACAAATAATCATATGGGTATGATTATTACCTCGCATTGCTCTTCCCTTCTAAAACTCGAGTTGTTCTTCAATGTTACTATACTCAACTGTCAACCACTACTTGAGGACTTTCAACAGTTATTCTAGTTTGGCACACTCTAGGGATAGCTTTAAATTTTAGTTACTTCGAGGGTTTAATTATCCAGAATGAATCAACAAGATCTGCTCTCTACATTCTTAAGTCATTTAACCATGGTAGTTACCTTTTTCTATCTACCTTTGGCGTGTGCCATGATATTATATACATATTGTAAATATTGAATTAGCACTAGTTTATTCTTTCTATTAAAGATATTTCTATAAAAGTATTTGCACTCTATACCAACATTTGATCTGTGACCACAAAAAGAATGCTATGAACATTTATTTCCACTGAATTTCTTGTAGAAAGTTAGGTTTGTGTTTCCTGTAAAACAATATAGACTTAGGCAAAACTACACTTCTCATGTATTTTTTAAAAGAGGGGATAAATATATAGTTTCAATCCAGCTTCTAGCTTTTTAACATTTGCTTGACATACAATTTGCATAATATAAAACTTATCCCTTTAAAGTGTACTGATGATAGTTTTTAGTATACCCACAGAATTGTGTAACAATCACATAATCAAATTTCTGGGAAGAGTACAGAGATTATAGATTACAGAGTACATAATATTTACAAACTTCCCCTTAAAGAAACTCCATATGATGCAGCAGTCATGTTTGATTTTACCCTGTTTCAACCCTGGCAGCAGTTGAATTTCTGTTCCCATGGATTTTCCTGTTCAGCAAAATTCATATTGATGGATTCGTACACTCTGCAATCTTTTGTGACTTCTTCCCCATTTAACACAATATTTTCAAGACTCTTCTAAATTCTTAAATTTTTCTTCAATTTTTGCATGACTGAATAATATTCTGTTGTGTGGATGTAATACAGTTTATTTGATCATCAGTTAATAAACATATGGAAGCGAAAAATACTATAATATTGTATTGATTTTGTTTCAGTCAATCCTCCACAGGATTTTGAGATAGTGGATCCTGGATATTTGGGTTATCTTTATTTGCTTTGGCAACCTCCACTGTTTGTGGATGACTTTAAGGATTGCACAGTAGAATATGAATTAAAATACCGAAACACTGATAGCGCAACCTGGAAGGTAAGTGAATCATATACTTGCAGTATCAGAATTATTATTGGAATTTAATTGTAGTTTCATTGTCTGCTATAGTGTCCCCATCTCAGTAGCTACTATTATGATATAACAAACTATCATGCTCTATCTTTTAAGTCTGCAATGGGATTCAGAGGTAAAAAGTATTTGGTGCAGTAGAATATGAACTTGAAATTAGTTACACATTTTTATCATGTTTTGTGGTTACTTACAAAGCCATTTATGGATATTATGTATGCTACTAGCTTGCTGAGTAAGAATCAAATCTTATTTATCTCTGTACTCTTCCCAGAGAATAAAGGATGTTTTCCTGAAATGTATTTTACTGCATAAGTGCTCAATGGAAGTTATTATTTATTAACATAGTTATTTATTAACTATTTATATAGTCAATGAGCACATTCATGCAAAGATTTCCAGCTAGATAGTTATAAGGAACAATTCAAATCAAAATTTTATTGAGCATCCTTTTGTGTCAGGAACGATCACGATCACGATCACAACCATCCTGTTTTTTGTCGATTGCTTCAGGCAGGCCCAGTAACATCTCCTTCGTCCTAACCCTGAGATAGTGCCATATTCAAGGCTCTTTAGGAGAATGAGACCAATCATTGCTACTGGCATTTGGCATATTGGGGACGCCACGGGGAGTTTGCCAGACTCTGCCATGTGGGCAGGTTACATTCGGTAGCCTGCCAGTTTGTCCAAAGTAGGAATGAAATAATAAGATGTCGCACAGCCGCATTCGTGGCCATATGCTTCCGGGAGCTGGCTTTTATAGTCTCTGAGTCTTGGCCGTTAATGGGATTACACGGTGCCAGGGGGTCAGTTGGTGGGTGTGACCCCCGCCTACTGGAATTTGGAGGATCTGGGTGGAGGATGCTCAGCCCCAACCCAAGTAGGCTTGGAGATCTCAGCCCCAGGACCCGCATGCCTTTGTTCCTCTGCCGGTACCTTCATGTGTGCGGAGAGTGGTCTCAGCATGGTGGTGGCTGGTTCTGGAGGTCTTCAGCTGCCGGAGCCCTGGTCGGGGCGGGGAGGAAAACTCAACCCGCTCCCCTCCAGGGGCCCTGGCGAGGACAGCCAGGCGTGGGGGCAGGAGACCCTGCTGTGTCAGGAACACTATTAGGAATACAAGAGTAAGTGATATGCAATTTTAGTCATCCAGGACCTCAGTTTTTCTGACTTTCTCTAATTTCCTACTGTATGATACTTTATATTATTAATTAATTGCTTGCATAATATTTTAAATAAGATGAATAATTTGTTCCATAATATGCATATGCATTGGAAAATTATCTCTTTAATTTAAAGTTGGTTTATTTATGTCCATCGCTCCATGGACATAAAGGGCTGGAGCGATAGCACAGCGGGTAGGGCGTTCGCCTTACATGCGGCCAACATGGCCGACCCGAGTTCGATTCCTCCGCCCCTCTCGGAGAGCCCGGCAAGCTACCGAGAGTATTCGATATGCCAGACACAGTAACAACAAAGTCTCCAATGGAGACGTTACTGGGCCCGCTCGAGCAAATCGACGATCAACGGGAGGGCCTTTACGTTTACGTTATTTATGTCATATTGCCTTTTATCCCTTCTAGAAGTATTTTTCTTGTTTTTTAAATAAATGAGATATTAGATATTAATGGTCTTAGTAAATAATTGAAATAAACTGTGTAAGAAATTTGTGTGGGGTATTGTATCACACGATTATAAGTAATCTCTCAGATATTGAGAACTTTCTGGGATATTAATGATTTTTAATCTTTTGATGTGACTGATGATATCACCACTATTTCAAGCTTGACGTTGTCTCTTTTATTCAGACTATCATTACTAAGAATCTACATTACAAAGATGGGTTTGATCTCAACAAAGGCATTGAAGCAAAGATACTCACATTTCTGCCAGAGCAATGTACCAATGGATCAAGAGTTAAAAGTTCATGGTCAGAAGCAACTTATTGGGCATCAACAAAAGGTTAAAACTAAGTTTCATTTTTTTTTTAAGTTAATAGTAGACAGGGCTGGGGTGATAGCACAGCGGGTAGGGCGTTTGCCTTGCACGCAGCCTACATGGCTGACCTGAGTTTGATTCTTCTGCCCCTCTTGGAGAGCCCGGCAAGCTACCGAGAGTATCTCGCCTGCATGGCAAAGCCTGGCAAGCTACCCGTGACGTATTCGATATGCCAAAAACAGTAACAACAAGTCTCACAAATTGTTATGAGATGTTACTGGTGCCTGCTCGAGCAAATCGATGAACAATGGGAGGACAGTGCAGTGTTAGACAACTCTTCAGAGGGAATAATTTCTTCAGCTCTTTTGTACCAAGATTGTATGTACAATTGAAAATATAGCAAAAAACAGAATCCTACATAGTAGTAGATGGCTGGACTTTCTTTTGATTTTTTTAAAGTTTTTGGACCATAGCATGCCATGCTTGGGGTCTACTAGCTTGATGCTTAGGAATCATTCCTGGTTATGCTTGGGGGACCATGTAGGGTGTCCAGATCTAACCTAGGCTCTTTCATAAAAAAAAAAACTTCAGTCCATTCAGCTGTTTATCAGTCCCTGACTGGTCATTTAAAGTTCTTTAAATTAAAAAAAATCCTTTTGGCAAATCTACATCTTATTAAGTTTTGAACAGTTTCTTATTTGGGGTTTATATTATTAAATCTGCATATGAGCATTAAATCAATTAATCAGAGCACCCTATAATTTTTAATGTTGTACTTTCGCATATGCTTATACTATTACTAGGAAATGAACCATCTATTATCTTTTGATTTTCCAATCTTAAGTGATTTACAGCAAAGTTATTTTGAAAGATTCCTAAGTATGCTGATTGTTAAATGGGAAAGTTGAAAGGGAACAAAACAGAGATTCATAATGATTTCCCAAATGCTCCATTACCATATTATTGAAGCATTTGCCATTTATTCATTCCTAAGGACATGTGAACACCAAAATTCAGGATATGGAGTGTGTATATAACAATTGGCAACATTTACTCTGCTTTTGGGAACCTGGGATAGGCGCACAGTTTGATAGCATTTACAACTTGTACTACTGGTAAGTATTTCCATAATAATTTTTATTAGCATTATTTTTTCATAACTGTTTAATTTTCTTCTTATATTTATTTATTGAATCACTGTGGGAAAAGTTACTAAGATTTCAGGTTTAAATCTTGATCATGCAATAATCAAACACCTTTCCCTTCACCAGTACTCATTTTCCACCACCAAGTACCCCAATAAACCCCCCTCCCACTCCTCCCAATGCCTGTGAGGCAAATGATTTCCACTTAATTCTTCTCTACATAGATTACATTCATTATTTTGACAAAAGATGCACCATTATTGTTTAGAATTACCCCCCCCCCCCAACAATCAGAATTGCTGAAAAGGCATTGTGAAATACTTTGTTTTCTATAGTTGGTTATGAGAATCATATACTCTTGCTTGGCCGCAGTAGTGGCCTCGCAATTTTGGATTTCTGCAAAGAGACAGATAATTACGAGGTTGGTTTCTGTGCATCTGGTGTTATCACTGTGCCAGAGAGCCGCTCGTGGGGGGCAACTCGTGACCTCAGTAGGGCGTGAAGGACGAGCCAGTAGCGCCCCCCCCCTTCCCATGAGACTGCAGCTTCCCCGTCACTGCTGGCTCATACCTGGCTTTTCTATAAGCTGTGAGGCGGCGGCCACCTTGCTGCCAGAGAGAAAAAAGGTGGAAGGGAACAACACCCTTTCCCTCCCGGGGAGGCATGATGCCATAGTTTAATGCATGGTCCATTCAATTTTCTGCCTCAAGCTGCTGGGCTCTGGATTAAGTCCTTTTGCCTCTGGAATCATGACCATGCTGGAGAGCCGCTCGTAGGGGACAACTCGTGACCTCGATAGGGTGTGAAGGATGAACCGGTACCGCCTCCCTTCCTATGAGACTGTAATTTCCCCGTCACCGCTGGCTCATACCTGGCTTTCCAATAAGCTCTGAGGTGGCGGTCATCTTGTATGTGATACAGATGCATTTCTGCCAAAAGCTGCTGGGTTTTGAGATTTGTTTCTGAGTCTCTGGGATCATGGCCATTAATTAGCTTGATCAGGAGCCAGAGAGGCCATTTGTAGGCAGCGACTTAGGGTCTCGCTGGGATGGGGAGGAAAGGGCCGGTTCCACCCCCATCTGGTGAGGCACTGCAGGCCTAAACCTGACTGTCCAGTGGCCTCTGGAGGATAGTGGTCACCAGGCCGCCAAGGGGAACAAGCCAAGGCATGAAACCTATTCCCATCCTAGTGGCCCAGCACCTGTAACCTACTGCAGAAACAGGATGCATTTCTGCCAAAAGCCTTTGGGTTCCGAGATTAGTTTCTGAATCTCTGGGATCATGGCCATTAAGCAGTTCGATCAGGAACCAGAGAGGCCATGCCTCCAATTATATAGCTGAGCTGGAGGTGGTTTGTGGGTGTGTCTCCTAACTTTTGGCCTTTTACTTTCTTGGTAAACTTTGCCCCAAGTTTTTGGGGTCTGACCAAAGGCACAGCAGCAATTTTGGGGTATCTGAAAGTCTGACGGTGCCATCAGGCTGCTGATGCACTCGTTTCACAGGTACAGATTGACCTGCTGGTGGCAGTATTATATTTTAAAGTAATAAACATTACTAGTAACTATTTTCACTGGATTCATTATGCATATTTGTATTTTATATACACATATATAAATGTATATAATGTATGCCATAGTATGTATATATATTTAGAAATGTATATATTATATGCTATGTTATAAAATGTCTATTTGTGTATATATGAAATATAAAAATTATATAAAAATAGTATTATAGTATTGTGATATTATTTGTATATATCTAATTTTATTTTATACATATTAATGTAAGTTGTAGTTATTTGGCATTTTTTTTCGAGTAAGTATGCTTAGACTGTACTTACTGACATGTACTATATGGTGATACAGGTTCTGTATTGGTCGAGTTTTGTATACATTATATAGATGAATTTACAATCTAAAGTGATTGGCTAATCACTTTATGTGTGGAATTGGAGGATGTCATGTTAAAAATTATTGTCTAAGAATTCAAATATCTACTAAAATGGATCTATTCAATACTCCTTTCTACTTTTGTCAATCATCATAGAAGCTTTTAAATTTAATCATTTTGAAACTTTCTTTTCTCGCTACCATGTTACTTCATAGTAGCATTGATCATCTTGTTCTAACACTACTTTACAAGCATGCACATTTGTTTTGCACATACTCCCTATTTCTACTCTGAACATTTTCCTTTAGCAAAGCATCTAGATTACTGTGGCCTCCAAGTAATTGAAAAGACAGTGATACAGTGGGCCTAAGACTGGAATGGTGATCTATTTTATCCTGACTTTTCAACATTATGTTTTATCACCACTGTGACAGAATTTTCTTCTCCCTATTAACCCATCTCAGTTTTTCCCTCTCAAACATGTTTTAGACTTTTGTGTATATTGCTGCCTAAAATCATCTTTACCAATCTTTTAAGAAATTTATTATTTTTCAGTAGTATCAGTATTATTGTTTCATATTTGCTGTGCTGTTATACCATGTCTACCACAAGAGTTACAGGATCTCAACATCATTATCTTAAAGTCCCTGATCCTACCATATCCCCAGATTACAATTCTGTTTACCCTATGTCAGGATTGCTTTATGTGAGAAATGTCTAATCTCTTGCTTTGTTTCTTTATACTCCACAAATGAGATCATCCGATGCTTATCTTTTTCTTTCGACCCATTTAACATGACATCCTCCAATTCCATACAGGTTGCAGCAAAATTCATGATTATATCTTTTCTCATAGCTGAGTGATATGCCACTGTGTATCTGTATACCATGATTCTCCCCACAGATCAATGTTTTATTTATTTATGTTATTGTATTTTAGGTAAGATGTTTTAAATAGTGATAAAAGGTAAAGGTAAAGGCCCTCCCGTTGATCGTCGATTTGCTCGAGCGGGCCCAGTAACATCTCCATTGGAGACTTTGTTGTTACTGTGTCTGGCATATCCAATACTCTCGGTAGCTTGCCGGGCTCTCCGAGAGGGGCGGAGGAATCGAACTCGGGTCAGCCATGTTGGCCGCTTGTAAGGCAAACGCCCTACCGCTGTGCTATCGCTCCAGCCCAAATAGTGATAACTTTTATAATATTGATGTGCATAGTTACTGCACTTTAAACACTACTAAAGTGTCTAAAGGCCTTCATAATTGTTATTTTCAGGTCGGCCATGTTGGCTGCGTGCAAGGCAAACGCCCTAACAGCTGTGCTATCGGGTAGGGCATTTGCCTTGCACGTGGCTTACTGGGCTGACCCAGGTTCAATTCCTCCGCTCCTCTCAGAGAGCCTGGCAAGCTATCGAGAGTATCTCTCCTACACAGCACGGATTTGATATGCCAAACACAGTAACAACAAGTCTCACAATGGAGATGTTACTGGACCCACTGGAGCAAATCGATGAACAATGGGAGGACAGTGCTACAATTGTTATTTTCATAAAAAATTAATGCATATATTTTAAAATTAAGGCACTATGATTTACAAGTTTGTTAAAAATAGACTTCTAGGCTTACAATATTCCAACACCAAATCTACCACCAGAGTGGCCTTTCCTCTACCAATGTTCTCAGGTTCCTTCCCAAGTCACAATCAGCCTCCTTGACAGGCCCATAGTTAAGATTATTTACTGTAGTTGAGTTCTCCTTCTTGCAGTGTTGTTACCTATGTAGATACGCCTTGGTTTCTTTGTCCACCCATATGCTCTTGAATACTTTACTTTTACTCTTATCCATCCTTTAAAACCCATCTGTTATTCAGTCTGATATAACTTTTAATGTTTTTGGTTTTGGACACAGAGCAGGATATTCCCAGGGGTTTCTTCTGGTCTTACAGTCAGGAATAACTCCTGATTGTTCTTGGGGGACCATATGGGATTCTGGGGCTACAACCTGGTACCCTACCTACTGTATTATCTAACTCCATGATTAAATGTTTGATATATAACATTAGTATATGTTTATTTTTCTCTGAGCTTATAAGTCTAACTTACTGCTCCAGTTGTAATTTTCTCATAAATTTGTCTTCTCTCAGATTTTTAGGAGATTGGTGGAGATAAATTATTTCTGATTTATCTTGACTAACTCTGCTATGCAATGGCAGTTCTAGTATTCACCAAAATATCGAAACATTATTAAAACATTGCCAAACTTATGGAAATATCAAACAATTTGCATATATTAAATAACAATAAAGGCAATATTAAACAAATTTTTGCTTAGAAGTCTTCCTTTGGAAATTTAGAAATTTCTTGTCTTCCTATACTTTTATCCCCATTCATTGATGAAGGTGAATTCTTATATTTCTTTATTATGCCTCGTGCTGTGGTATGGCTAGGTTTAAAAAATCCAAGTAGGAGATGAAGGCCTGTGTGACTGACAATCAGGAGATCTCACTCACAAAATAAAGTTAGTGTCTGTGGTTCTGATTCTGTCATGTTCTGCATGCCCATTAGAGATTTGTTGTTCAAGTGCCATATAGTAGCCTAACATGTCTGTGCTCAGCAATTTCTGGTGTCTGGCTATGGAAATAAAGTTGAAGACTGGCTGACCTGAACAGTGACTAGGAATTAGTCCAAAGTTAAGAAAGTTATTCTCAAATTAAGGGCACCTCAAACTAGAAAGAAATTGAGGACCCTTTCAGGAAAATAGGATTCTGTAGGCATTGGATCCCCAAACAAAATTCAGAGATGAGTCTCAATAAAAACCTGAAAAACTGGATCCACTTCCAATAAACAACTTACTGACTAAACGGAAATAATCTAATCCAATTATATCAAGTACTTCCATTACTGTAAAATTTAATGGAATTTCGAGTTGGGCTCATCTCTCCAGGATGTCATCCAGTGACCATATTCTGAGAGAACCCATCCCATCCCCCTCCAGAATTGGGAGATATCCTGGTTCTTCATGCTTTATTCTTTTAATTGAAACACAGTGATATACATATTTACAAAGTTGTTCATGATTGTATTTCAATCATATAATGTTCCAACATCCTTCCCTTCTCCAGTTTACTTTCCCCACGACCAGTGGTCCTAGTTTTTCTCCTGAGCCCCTCCCCTTTACCCCTACCACCTGCCATTATGGCAGGCACGTTTTTTCTCTCTCTCCTCTCTCTCTCTATCTCTCCCTCTCTGTCTCTCAATTTCCTTATCTCTCTCCCTCTCTTTCCTTCTCTCTCCCTCTCTCTTCCTCTCTCTTTTTCCATTTGGGCCTTATTGTTTGCAATACAGATAATGAAACATTATCAGGTATATCACTTTACCTGTGCCCATTACTGCCCACACAGTGTTGTGGCAAACTTCCATCCATTAACCTGTCATCTTGGCCCCTGTTTACACTCACCTTGGGTATTATTCTCATTATATATGTATATATGTAAATATATATATCCCACAAATGAATGAAGTCATTCTATAACTATCCCTCTCATTCTGACTCATTTCACTCAACATGATTCTCTACATATCATCAGTTTTCCTAACAGCTACATAGTAGTCCATTGTGTAGTTATACCATAAATTCTTTACCCAATCATCTGTTCTCAGGCACTCAGGTTGTTTCCAGCTTCTGGCTATTGTGAACAGTTCTGCAATGAACATCGACGTGCAGATGACATTTCTGATGTGTGTTTTTGGGTCCCCAGGGTATATTCCTGGCACCAGGGGGCCATTTGGTGTGTGTGACCCCTGCCTACTGGAAGGTGGAGGATCTGGGTGGAGGATGCTCAGCCCCAATCTTAGTAGGCTTGGAGATCTCAGCCCCGGGACCCGTATGCCTTTGTTCCTCTGCTGGTACCTTCATGCGTGTGGAGAGTGGTCTCAGTATGGTTGTGGCTGGTTCTGGAGGTCTTTGGCTGAGGGAGCTCTGCTCGGGGCAGGGAGGTAAACTCAACTCACCCCCCTCCAAGGGCCCTGGCAAGGACAGCCAGGCGTGGGGGCAGGAGAATCTGCACTGTTCTCTTCCGGGAGATGGGTTTTATAGTCTCTGGGTCTTGGCCGTTGATGGGATTATTCTCCACATGAATGAAGGTACCAGCAGAGGAACAAAGGCATGCGGGTCCCGGGGCTGAGATCTCCAAGCCTGCTCAGATCGGGGCTGAGCATCCTCCACCCAGATCCTCCACTTTCCAGTAGGCAGGGGTCACACCCACCAACTGGCCCCCTGGTGCCATGTAATCCCATCAACGGCCAAGACCCAGAGGCAATAAAACCCAGCTCCCAGAAGTGCGCGGACGCATTCATGGCCATGCAGCATCTTATTATCTCATTCTTACTTTGAACAACTTGGCAGGCTACCAAATGTAACCTGCCCACATGGCAGAGTCTGGCAAACTCCCTGTGGCATACCTAATATTCCAAATACCAGTAACAATAATGGGTCTCATTCTCCTAACCCTGAAAGAGTCTTGAATGTGGCCCTTTTTAAAATCTCAGGGCTAGGACAAAGGAGATGTTACTGGGGCTGCTCAAGGCAATCGACGAACAACAGGATGATTGTGATCATGATCGTGATATTCCCAGAAGTGGAGTTGCTGTATATTCCCAAAGTGGAATTGCTTTACACTGAGAAGAGGTCCCTAGAATTCGTGGCAGGCCAGAACATTCTTTTTATTCTCATAGCAGGGACATTTTCGTCTCTTCCTTTAACTGTCCTGCCTTTAGGCATTAAAGTTATCCCTGAGGGTAGCAAGGCACTAGTAATATTTACTCTTAGTATTAGATGGCTCTTATTGGTTAAACCGATGACTTTGGACTCTGTCTCCCCTTTCTTCACTTTTTAGTATATTTTTAAATGCTATATAGCAATTATGTTTGTTTGCATAAACACAGAAAGGAGATCACTCCTCTGGGTGGCATGGTCTGCCTGCCCCTAATGTAGATTAAAAATTTCAAGAGATAATTATGACACTTTAAAATCCTCTTCCTCAGAAAAAAATTTTGGCACTAGGCCTCTCACATAAAAGGTTAATGACCTACTGCTGAGCTACCTTTACAGCTTTTCTTTCACCCCCTCTTCTCCCCTCCAGTCCCTTTACCTCCCTTCCCTTCCCTTCTCTCTCCTCTCTTTCCCTTTCCCCTTCCATCCTCTCCTCTTTTGCTATGTTGTAGATCAAAGCCAGGTCTATTAAAAGCATGTGCCCTTTTACTTCTGGGCATCTCTAGTCCCCATGGTGTCTTTCTTTTGAAAATCTTTAAATGTAGATATATATGTGTGTATATATGTGTATATAAATAATAAGGAATAAGCTGTTAGCAATCCTTTTAATTAGATTCTAATATGTCCTGCTTTTTATTTCATATAGTGCTCTTGAAGAAGCAATTCCAACTTTCATTGTTTCATAGTATGGAATTGACATGTCAGTTTTTAAAACCTAATTTACTTGTTGATTTAATAAATAGTAAACATCTAATAAGTGAGGCAAGGTTTGGAATAAGACAAATCCTTGCCCTCTATTGCAATGCATTAATAATTTGCATAACTTTATTCTCATCTCAATAGAGTAGTGAGTTATAAGTGTTAACATTTTAGAGTCAGAAGGAGAGGAACACACATAGAATGATTGCATTGATTTGTGGGATGTAAAATAACCCACATCCCACATAATGTAAAATGTACTATGACTAATACCCAAGGACAGTAGACAAAAGGTCCAGGAGGAATGATCCATGGATGGAAGTCTGCTTCAAGTGCTGGGGTAGAAGGTAGTTGGTACAGAGAAGGGTCACTATGACAAAGATAGCTGTAAATGGTGGCCCTCGATAAGAACTGTGTGCTGAAAGTAGATAAAGTAACACCATGATACAATTTCAGTATATGTATTGTAAACCATAAAACCATAATGCCCAAAAGGAGAGAGAGAGGAAGACAGAAAGTGCCTGCTAGGCACATAAGCACATAGAGACAGGCTAGGGGTGAAGTGGTGGTGGTGGCAGGAAGGAAACTGGGGACATTGGTTGTGGAAAATGTACACTGGTGAAGGGATAGGTGTTGGAACATTGCATTACTGAAACCGAATCATGAACAGCCTTGAAACTATGTATTTCATGGTGATTAAAAAAGGGTTAACATTTTAGAAACTGGACAGTAAAAGAAATATGAACTTTCCCACTAATGCAAAATCAGTTTACAAAGCCAAGCCTGGATACCATGTATCTTAAATAGTGATCCGGTATACTTGCCTAGAGAATAAAATTTTGCACTTTCCTTAAATACTTGGCATAAAGTGAATTCAGTAGAGTCTGGATATTTGTACAGAACCTTATCAACTGCTAGGTTGGACTCATTTCAAGAGATTTTAACTGCCCTTACACATAATGCAACAGTTTTTATTGAAAGCTAATTTTAAGATAAATAAGCAAAAAATATTACTTTGTGAATCAGTATGGAAATTTCCCCTAATTCCCACCAGCTTTTTACTGGCAATAAATGAACTTTAGATGATATGCTCACATTTCTTGTCTGCAAAAAGAAAAAGTCGCTATTTACTTGCCAAAACAAGTCTTTTTTCCCCTGTGGCTTTCTCTTCAATTTATGTGGTTTGTATCTTCATGTATAATATATATTTAGAGAATTTTGATTACTTTAGCTAATCAGAACAATATCAATATGATTTTAATATTTTTTCTAAAATAAATTCCTGATTACAATATAGAAAAGAGAGGATTACTTATGTAAACTCCAGAATTTCTTATCTTAATTTGCTAATTCTGTTAGTGAGTCAACATAATAAAAATACCTGCCCAAGAACCCTTACATTATTTTTGAAAATTTGGAAACATTTTCATAAGTTTATAAACTCCATGAAATCTTTAATTATCTCTACTTTCTTTAATATTGTTCTAGCATTTGTTATCACATCTGGTGCATAATATATGCTTAATAAATACAGCATATCTTAAATGATTTTAACATTTACTTGGAATTTTCTGATTATATAAAATTGAGGAACATGGTATTAAAAGACACTGGAAAACACAATTCTTACAGCACTTCTTTTTATAGGTATGAAGGCTTGGACCATGCATTGCAGTGTCCCAATTACATTAAGGCTGGTAGAAAAAATATCGGATGTAGGTTCCCTCATTTAGAATCATCAGACTATAAAGATTTCTACATCTGTGTCAATGGAACATCACAATTCAAGTCTATCAGATCCAGCTACTTCATTTTTCAGCTTCAAAATATAGGTGAGCGAAACTTCAAAATATTACTAGTTGAACCATTTATATGTGCATGGAAGGAGGTGAAGAAGAAGATGATGAAGAAGAAGAGAAATGAGCATGTGTGTGTATGAGAACAATAAAAGAGACGGGCAAGTAAGGAGAGAGAAGGGCAGGAGGGAAACAGGGGGAGGGTGGGAAAGAAGGGGAGGATGAGAGTTAGAGTGCAAGAGTGACAGAGGAAAGAGAGAGACAAAAAGAATTGAACTGTGTTATAAAAACAAAGTCAGAAAAAAGAACTGATAGACTATATGAGACAATATGAGGAAGCATTTAGCTAAACATTAATATATAATAAAGGATTCAATGAAGGGAAAAGTTATTTTCATTTAGAACTGTGCTAAGTGGATTTACTACTGAGTTTTAAAAAGTATTCTATTTTAGGCACTGTGGTTTACAAGCCTGTTCATTGTAGAGTTTGATGCATAAAATATTGTGGTAATACATTCTCTAACAGTGTCCACTTCATTGTACTTTAGTCCTAGTGTCTCCACTCCTATCCTATTGTTGTCTGTGGGAGATGTGACACCTGTCATCAAAGAAGTAGAATTCCCCAGGTGGCTTATGTGAAACAGGGAAAAGAGAAGGGGCAGCCTTGAGAAAAAAATCTATCATTTCCCTCTATTCTCACCTCATATCCTGGAGAACTGCCTGGGGAAACCTACAATTGTATAACTACTGTAATAAACACCTGTATGATAACAGAATTTATCTCAGGAGGCTGTTATCAAACCCCACCTGAATTCCATTTGTTCAGCCCAGCATGAGAAATGATCTCTGGCTTCTAATTCTTTGAGAGCTGGGAAATAAGGTGGGAATGAGACCCTGGCCTTTGTAGAGTAGTCACTCTTAAATCTTACTGAGGAGTTTCAGGTCTATCCATTTTCCTCACAGAAAAGAATTTCAGGAGGAGATGAATAGTGAAATAAAATAAGTTTCGTTTGGAAATAGAGATAGCAGGAGAAATGTAGATAAAGATATGGGCTCAAGAGAGAACACAAACTTTTCAAGAGTGACAAAATAAGAGCAAAGTACACATACCACGCAAGGAGGAGGCAATCTCCCCAGAATGAGAAAATGCACCCTTAAGTAAGAAATTACACATCCCAAAAGGAGATGTAGGCAAGTGCATGCCTCTTCTGCTGTCATGTAAGTTTATAGACAGTTTTCCCAACTTGCCCCCTCCCCAGTTCATTGCTAGGGTGGTTGGCAAGGAAAGACATTTGGAGCAATATGACAGAGCTCACTCAGTATTTGTTCCTCTCCTGACTTGCTATAGTATTTTTGTTAAGTATCTGTGATAGAATAATTATGGAATCAGTTGGACATTATCAGATATAATACTGGAGTGACAGGCCATACCTGGGTCTGAATCATGAATTTATCTATTTGTCCCTTTATTACTGTGTATTACTGTATCTTACTTTGGGTGAGTTTATGAACACTTTTCAATTTGCTTTTCAGTAAACTAAGGATAACCTCTTAGATTTGTTTTGACACATGAATGAGTTTATGTTGCAAAGTCTTTGCTTCAGTGTCCAACACATCATAAGCTCGAAATCACTTGTTTCTAATTTTACAAAAAATGGGGAGAAATTACTTATTTCAATCTTTGAATTTTTTCTATCCTTCAATACTTTTTTTTATTAGTGAAACACCATGAGGTACAATTGTAGACTTACAAATTTTTGTGCTTGGGTTTCAATTATACAATGATCAAATACCCATCCCTCCACCAGTGCCCATTTTCCACCACCAGGGATCCCAGTATCCCTCCCACCACATCCCCCCATCCCACCCTGACTCTGTGGCAGGGCATTCCCTTTTGTTTTCTCCATTCTTTTGGGTGTTATGGTCTGCAAAAGAGGCATTGAGTGGCAGTCATGTTCGGTCCATAGTCTACTTTCAACATGCATCTCCCATCCTAGGAGGATCCTCCAAACACCCTTTATTTGGTGCTTCCTTCTCTATATGAGCTGCCCTTTCCCCTAGAATGCCCTGCTGGCCTCTAAGTCCTGGAGTAATCCTACTGGTACTGATCTCAGCTATTCTTGGATGTTAATCTCCTATTTTGTTACTTTATGTCCCCCAGATGAATGCAGTCTTTTAATGTCTATCCCTCTCTTTCTGACTCATTTCTCTTAGCATGATACTTTCTATGTAGTACCACTTGTATGTAAATTTCATGAGTTCATCTTTTCTAACAGCTACATGGTACTCCATTGTGTAGATGTACCAAAGTTCCTTTAACCAGTCATCTGTTCTCGGGCACTCAGGTTTTTACAGATTCTGGCTATTGTAAAGGGTGCTGCAATGAACAAACAAGTGCAGATGTCACTTCGACCATACATTTTTGCCTCTCTGGAATATATTCCCAGAACTGGTATTGCTGGGTCATATGGAGCTCAATTTCTAATTTTTTGATAATCGTCCATACTGTTTTCCAAAAGGGCTGAACCAGTCAGCATTGCCACCAACCGTGAATGAGTGTCCCTTTCTCGCCACATCCGCGCCAGCATTGGTTGCTTTTGTTCTTTTGGATGCGGGCCAGTCTATGAGGTGTGAGATGGTATCTCATTGTGGTTTTGATCTGCATCTCACTAATGTTTAATGATGTAGAGCATTTTCTCATGTACTTTTTTGCCATTCGGATTTCTTCTTTGAGAAATTTTCTGTTCATCTCATTGCCCCATTTTTTAAAAAATTTATTTATTTATTGAATCACTGTGGGAAAAGTTACAAAGCTTTCAGGTTTAGGTCTCAGTAATGCAAATATCAAACACATTTCCCTTTACCAATACTTATTTTTTACCATGAAGAACCCCAATAAAACCCCACCCCCCACCCCTCCCAGTCCTTGTGAGGCAGATGAATTCTAGTTAGCACTCTTTGTTTCAATAAAAGATTCACCACTATTATTTAGAGTTTACCCCCCCCCCCCAAAATCAGACATGCTGAAAAAGCATTGTGAAGTGATTTGCTTTCTACAGCTGGGTTCAAGAATTACATGTTGGTTTTGGATTTCTGCTATTTTACTTATTAACCCTGGAAGTATTTCTACTGAAAGTCAGATAATTAAGAAATTGGTTTCTGTGCTCTGGAGTTGTGGCCGTGCCAGAGAGCCGCTCGTGGGGGGCAACTGATGACCTCGGTAGGGCGTGAAGGGCGGACCGAAACGCCCCCCTTCCCATGAGGTTTTAGTCGCCCCCACACCCCCGGCTCATACCTGCTGTCCACAAGGCTCCCATGTGTCCGCCATCTTTCTTTCCAGAGAGGAGAGGGCGAATGGGGCAACACCCTTTCCCCTCCGGACAGACCTGATGGCCTGGATTAACGCATAGTCTGTTCACTTTTCTGCTCCAAGCTGCTGGGTTCTGCATTAAGTCCTTGTGCTTCTGGGGCCATGGCTTTGCAGGAGAGCCGCTCGTGGGGGGCAACTGGTGACCTCGGTAGAGCATGAAGGACGGACCGGAATGCCCCCCTTCCCATGAGGTTTTAGTCGCCCCCACACCCCGGCTCATACCTGCTGTCCACAAGGCTCCCATGCGGCCGCCATCTTTCTTTCCAGAGGGAGTAGGGCGAATGGGGCAACACCCTTTCCCCTCCAGGCAGACATGATAGCCTGGATTAATGCATAGTCCGTTCACTTTTATGCTCCAAGCTGCTGGGTTCTGCATTAAGTCCTTGTGCTTCTGGGGCTGTGGCCGTGCTGGAGAGCCGCTCGTGGGGGGCAACTGGTGGCCTTGGTAGGGCGTGAAGGACGGACCCAAACGCCCCCCTTCCCATGAGGTTTTAGTTGCACCCACACCCCCAGCTCATACCTGCTGTTCATAAGGCTCCCATGCGGCCGCCATCCTTCTTTCCAGAGGGAGGAGGGCGGAAGGGAGCAACACCCTTTCCCCTCTGGGCAGACATGATGGCCTGGATTAACGCATAGTCCGTTCACTTTTCTGCTCCAAGCTGCTGGGTTCTGTATTAAGTCCTTGTGCTTCTGGGGCCGTGGCTGTGCTGAAGAGCTGCTCGTGGGGGGCAACTGGTGACCTCGGTAGGGCGTGAAGGACGGACCAGAACGCCCCCCTTCCCATGAGGTTTTAGTCGCCCCCACACCCCCGGCTCATACCTGCTGTCCACATGGCTCCCATGTGGCCGCCATCTTTCTTTCCAGAGGGAGGAGGGCGGAAGGGAGCAACACCCTTTCCCCTCCGGGCAGACATGATGACCTGGATTAACGCATAGTCTGTTCATTTTTCTGCTCCAAGCTGCTGGGTTCTGCCTTAAGTCCTTGTGTTTCTGGGGCTGTGACCGTGCTCCAAACTTAACTCTGATTTTCAGGGAGAAACGTTGGGTGATTTACTTCCCATTGATCACTTTGTATATAGAGAGATGTTGCGCGGCCACGTAAGCGGCCGTGCGGTTTGGAGGAAAAGTCCTATTTCCCGCATACTCGAGCTTTGCTTGTAGAGGCTTCTGGTCACCGGGGTTCCATCTGGGGGAGGCGGGATGCGGCACCTACCCCATCTGGGACTTCCCGATGATCTCGGCTCTTTTTGGAACCTGGTTTTTTCTCCGGGGGCTGTGGAGCCAGCCCTCCATGTGGCCCTTCTCTTCGGCTGTATGCTGTAAAGATCGCCCCATTTTTTAATGGGGTTAGATGTTTTCTTCTTGTGGAGTTCAACCAGTACTTTATAAATCCTTGATATCAACCCCTTGTCAGATGTGTATTCGGCAAATATCCTTTCCCATTCTGTAGACTGTCTTTGTATTTTGGTCACTGTTTCTTTTGAGGTGCAGAAGCTTCTTAGTTTAAGATAGTCCCATTTATCTATCTCTGTTTTCACTTGCTCAGCCAGTGGCGTGACATCTTTGAAGATACCATTAGCTTCAATGTCATGGAGGGTTTTGCCAACTTTGTCTTCAATGTACCTTATGGATTCTGGTCTGATGTTGAGGTCTTTAATCCATTTTGATCTTACTTTTGTACATGGTGTTACACAGAGTTCTGAGCCCACTTTTTTGCATGTAGCTGCCCAGTTTTGCCAGCACAACTTGTTAAAGAGGCTTTCCTTACTCCACTTCACATTTCTAGCAACTTTATGAAAGATTAGATGATCATATGATTGAGGGGAGGTGTCAGTGTATTCAACCCTATTCCATTGGTCTGCAGATCTGCCTTTGTTCCAGTACCATGCTGTTTTAATTATTACTGATTTGTAGTAGAGTTTGATGTTAGGGAGGTTGATTCCTCCCATTTTCTTTTTCCCAAGAATTGCTTTAACTATTCGTGGGGGCTTATTGTTCCATATGAATTTCAGGACTGGTTGCTCTATTTCTTGCTTCAATACTTTTTAACATATTACTTTAAAAAATGAGTTTGCCTCCCAGGATGGGAAAATTATGCTGAAAGTAGACTATAGACCGAACATGATTGCCACTCAGTGCCTCTTTTGCAAACCACAGCACCCAAATGGAGAGAGAGAACAAAAGGAAATGCCCTGCCACAGAGGAAGTATGGGATGGGGGGGCATGGTGGTTGAGAGGGATACTGGGATTCGTGGTTGTGGAAAATGGGCACTGGTGGAAGGATGGGTACTCGATCATTGTATAAGTGAAACCCAAGCACAAAAATTTGTAAGTCTACAACAGTACCTCATGGTGTTTCACTAATAAAAATTTTGAAAAAATTAGTTTGCAAAATAACAAACTTTCTAAATCATTGTTTCCCAAAGTGGGTGATACTGTCCACGTAGGGTTTCCTGGACCAATTCAGAGGAAGTAGGAGTGGTAACCTGAGATCCATTTGAGGGTGCTTTCTGTGTGTTTGCTTAAGTAAGGCAGATTTCTGGAAGGGACAATTACTGAGTGATTTTTTTTTCTGAAAAGGAGTTGGCAGGCCAAATAATTTTGAGAATCTTTGCTATAAATAAACTGTGTTTGGCAAGTATCTTGATGATATTGTATCTAATTGGAAGGAGGGTGTATTGGGAATAAACCCAGGACCTCATACTTGCAAGACATGTACTTTTTCACTGAGACTCATCGCTTGTCCATGACAAGCAGCTTCGATTTTAATTCCTAGTGTTGAAAATAGACTTAATGTGCCTGATTTATCTTTGTAGGTGTCTGTTACTAGGAGTTCCAGGGTTTTGATAAGGTATACTGCTACTAAACCTCAACAACCTCTATGTCTAAATGGTTTCCTTTTGCTTTTCAGTTAAACCTTTACCAACAGACTACCTTAGTCTTACTGTGAAGGATTCAGAGGACATTTTCCTGAGATGGAACGTTCCAAGAGGCCCCATTCCACCAAAGTGTTTCATTTATGAAATTCAGTTCGTAGAAGATGATTCTACCAGAGTAAGATGAATATTGCATTTATTTTGGGGAAATTATAAACCTAGATTTAGAAATGATATAGCAGACATAAGAGCCAAAATAATTCTCTAGCTACATAAATATTATAACATGACATGTACCTTAATTTCTGAAAGATCAAATATTTTAGTAGACGAAAGAAATATGCTTTCAAGCTAGTAATATAATTAAGCATACAAATTTTAAAACTTCATGGTGTCTTAGAAATCTGGTAACATGTTTTGAATTTCATGTCAATAAACTAAAGTTGCCATTGCATACATAAAATGGAAGTGGCCTCTAGTTAAAAAAAGCAAAATAAAAAACACCAACATAAACACTATTTATTTATTTATTTATTGAATACCATAAGAAACACAGTTGCAAAGTTTTTAATGATTGGGTTTGAGTCATATCAGTCATACAATGTTCGAAAACCTTTTCTCTCTCTCTCTCTCTCTCTCTCTCTCTCTCTCTCTCTCTCTCTCTCTCTCTCTCTCTCTCTCCCCCCTTCTGGATGTTATGGACCATAGACACTTTTAGAAGGGCTAAGCAGAGGAAACAGCCAAGACTAATTTATTTCCCCTGTAACAACGAAACAGTGATCTCTTTAGGCCTATGGTATTATGTTAATTTTATTCTTTGCTTTACAACATTAAAAAGTTGTGGGTATAAATAAATAAGCCATGAGTTTGAATTGATTCTTTTCATATAAAGATGAGAAAACACTCTGTTGTTAGAATAGATGTAGAGGTCCAAAGTAATTTTTAATTGGTTCACAATCAAATTACTTATCTTGAACTAGAATACAGGTCTTGTAAGAATAATGTTAAGAAAATTCCCATTTTAGCTTGGAAAATTATTAGCTTACTCTTGAACAAGATGTCTCTGAATCAATGTGAAGACTTGTCCACTTGAAGCTATACTATTTTATGATCATTCCCAAGAAAATTGCAACAAAAAATGTGTTCCTGTGGGTGAGAAGCCTTTATTTGCTTTTTGAAATACAAAATTAAAATAGTTGTTACAGTGTTTTTTTATTTTTATTAGTGAAACACCATGAGGTACAGTTTAAACTTACAATATTTTGTGCTTGGTTTTCAGTTATACAAATAGTCGAGTACCCATCCCTCCAGCAGTGCCCATTCTCTACCTCCAGTGCGCCCAGTACCCCTCCCATACCCCCAGACCCCCCATCCCACCCCAGCCCTGTATCAGGGCATTACCCTTTGTTTTCTCTCTCCTTTTGGGAGCTGTGGTTTGCAAAAGAGGCATTGAGTAGCAATCATGTTCAGTTTATAGTCTACATTCAACATGCATCTCTCATCCTGAGAGGCTCCTCCCCAAACCCTTTATTTGGTGCTCCCTTCTCTATCTGACCTGCCTTTTCCCCCAGCATGTGCGGCTGGCCTCCAAGCCATGGAGTGAACCTCCTGGTACTTATCTCGGCTATTCTTGGGTGTTCATCTCCTATCTTGTTAGTTTATATTCCCCAGTTGAATGCAATCTTTCTATATCTGTCCTTCTCTTTCTGACTCATTTCACTTTTAGCATGATAATATCCATATAGTACCACTTGTATGTAAATTTTATGATTTCATCTTTTCTAAGACCTGCATAGTATTCCATTGTGTAGATGTACCAAAGTTTCTTTAACCAGTCGTATGTTCTCAGGCACTCAGGTTTTTTCCAGATTCTGGTTATTGTGAACAGTGCAGCAATGAACATAGAAGTGCAAATGTCATTTTGACTGTACCTTTTTGCCTCTCCAGGATATATTCCCAGAAGTGATATAGCTAGGTCAAATGGGAGCTCAATTTCTAATTTTTAGATAATCGTCCATACTGTTTTCCATAATGGATGAACCAGTCGTCATTCCCAATAGCAGTGAAGGGGAGTGCCTCTCTCGCCATATCCATGCCAAAAGAGGTTGCTTTTGTCTTTTGAATGTGGGCCAGTCTCTGTGGTGTGAGATGATATCTCATTGTTGTTTTGATCTGCATCTCCCTGATGAATAATTATGTGTGTAGGGCATTTTCTCATGTACCTTTTAGCCATTAAGATTTCTTCTTTGGAAAAATTTCTTTTCATTTCATCACCACATTTTTGATGGGGTTAGATGTTTTCTTCTTGTAGAGTTCAACTAGTGCTTTGTACATCCTTGATATCAACCCCTTATCAGATGGGTATTGGGTAAATATCCTTTCCCATTCTGTAGATTGTCTTTGTATTCTAGTCACTATATCTTTTGAGGTGCAGAAGCTTCTTAATTTAAGATAGTCCCATTTGTTTATCTCTGTTTCCACTTGGTTGGTCAGTTGGTGTCGTCTTTAAAAATCGTTAGCCTCATATCATGGAGGGTTTTGCCGACCTTGTCTTCAATGTACCTTATGGTTTTGGGCCTGATGTTGAGATATTTAATCCATTTTGATCTGGCTTTTGTGCATGGTGTTAAGTGGAGGTCTAAGCCCATTTTTTTGCATGTGGTTGTCCAGTTATGCTAGCACCATTTGTTAAAGAGGCTTTCCTTGCTCCACTTCACATTTCTTGCTCCCTTATCAAATATTGGATATTCATATGTTTGGGGTTGTGTGTACGGATATTCCACCCTATGCCATTGGTTTAAAACCCTGCCTTTGTTCCAATACCATACTGTTTTAATTATTACCGCTTTGTAGTAGAGTTTGAGGCTGGGGAGGGTGATGCCTCCCCATGACTTTTTTCCAAGAATTGCTTTAGCTATTTGTGAGCATTTGTTGTTCCATATGAATTTCAGGAGTGCTTGATCTATTTCTTTGAAGAATTTCATGGGTATCCTTATAGGGATCACATTGAATCTGTATACTGCTTTCAGGAGTATTTTCATTTTTACAATGTTAATTCTTCCTATCCATGAGCAGGGGATATGTTTCCATTTTCTCGTGTCTTCTTTGATTTCATGAAGTACCATTTCGTAGTTTTCATTGTAGAGGTCCTTTACCTCTTTAGTTAGGCTGATTCCAAGGTATTTGATTTTCTGGAGCACAATTGTGAACGGGATTATTTTTTTCATGTCACTTTCCTCTCTCTCATTATGTGTGTATAGGAAGGCCATGGATTTTTGGGCATTGATTTTATAGCCTGCGACTTTATTGTGCAAGTCTATTGTATATAGGAGTTTCTTGGTAGAGGCTTTAGGATTCTATAGATATAGTATCATATCATCCACGAATAGTGAGAGCTTGATTTCTTCCTTTCCTCTGGATGCCTTTAATGTCTTTTTCTTGCCTAATCGCTATTGCAAGTACTTCCAGCACTATGTTAAACAGAAGTGGTGATAGTGGGCATCCTTGTCTTGTCCCTGATCTTGGAGGAAAGGCCCTAGTTTTTCCCATTGAGGATAAATGCTTTCCATGGGTTTGTCATAGATGGCTTTGACTATCTTGAGGAAAGTTCCTTCAAAACCCATTTTGGTGAGAGCTTTCATCATAAACTGGTGCTGGATCTTGTAAAAAGCTTTCTCTACATCTATTGATATGATCATATGGCTTTTATATTTTCTTTTGTTGATATGATGGATTATGTTGATTGATTTCCGAATATTAAACCATCTTTTGCATCCCCGTGATGAATCCCACTTGGTCGTGGTATATGACATTTTTGATGAGTTGTTGGATTATATTTGCTAATACTTTGTTGAGGATCTTTGCATCTGTGTTCATTAGGGATATTGACCTGTAATTTTCTTTGTTGGTGGTTTTTTGTTTGCCTTCGGTATTAGGGAGATATGTGCCTCATAGAAGCTGTTTGGGAGAGTTCCTTTTTTTCAATTTACTGTAAATGCTTGAGGAGAACTGCAAAACGTCTTCTTTAAATATTTGGAAGAATTCACTAGTGAATTCGTCTCGGCCTGAGATTTTGTTTTTGGGAAGACTTTTGATTACCACTTCAAATAGCTTGATATGAACGAGTCTATTCAGGTATCCCAACTCTTCCTGGTTCAATCTTGGGTATTATAGGAATCCAGGAATTTATCCATTTCTTCTATGTTCTCTTGTTTCATGGCATACAGACTGTCAAAGTAGTCTCTGATGATCTTTTGAATTTCATTGGTTTCTGTTCTGATGTCCCCTTTTTCATTTCTTATTCAGTTTATTTTAGTTCTCTCGCTCTCTCCTTCTCTCTGAGTCTTGCTAGTGGTTTATCAGTCTTATTTTCTCAAAGAACCAGCTCTTGGTTTCATCGACCTTTCAGATTTTTTTACTTCCATTTCCTTAATATCTGCTCTAATTTTTATTATTTCTTTCCTTCACCCTGGTTTGGGTTCCTTCTGTTGGTCTTTTTCTAAGATCTTGAGCTGTGAAGTCAAGCTATCTATGTAGGCCTTTTCTTCCTTCCTGAGGAATGCCTGCAAAGCTATACATTTTCCTCTTAACACTGCTTTAGCTACATCTGATATGTTCTGGTAGCTTGTGTCTTCTTTCTCGTTTGTTTCCAGGTATCTTCATTTCGTCTTTGACTTCCTTCCTGACCCAATCATTGTTCAACATTCAGTTGTTTACTTTCCAGGTGTTTGATTTGTTTCTCGATGTCTTTGTGTGATTCGTTTTTATCTTGAGCACATTGTGGTCTGAAAAGATTGTTGATACTACTTCTATCTTTCTTGTTATATTGAGGTATGTTTTGTGGCCTAACACGTGATCTATTTTGAAAAATGTTCCGTGTTCACTGGAGAAGAATGTGTATTCTTTCTTTTGGGGGTGAAAAGCCCTGTATAGTTCTATAAGCCATATCTCTTCAATTTCTTCCTTCAAAGCCAATGTTTCCTTGTTGAGTTTTGTTCTTGTTGATCTATCCAGAGGTGATAAGGCAATGTTGAAGTCTCCAACTACTATTGTGTTGCTAGAAATGTCATCCTTAAAATGTCTAAGCACTTGTTTTAAGTATTTAGCTGTTCCCTCATTAGGTGCGTATACATTTAAGAGTGATCTTTCTTCCTGTTGTATGTATCCTTGATAAATAGAAAATGGCCTTGGCTTTCCCTTCTAACCTTTTTAAACCTAAAATTTATGTTGTTGGATACGCTAATTGCCACCCTAGCTTTTTTGATGGAGCTGTTTGCTTGCAGGATTGTTTTTCATCCTTTAGCTTTGAGTCTGTGTTTGCTCTGACTGTTGAGATGAGTTTCTTGTAGGCAGCAAAATGTTGGTTTCAGTTTCTGGATCTTTTTTGTCACTCTTTGTCTCTTGATTGGTTCATTTAGACCATTGAGGTTGAAAGATATTATTGTCATGGGGTTTTCTGCCATCTTTCTGTAAGGGTTGGTTGTGTTTCTAAGTGTTTTCCTTCTTATTTTACAGGAGCCCCTTTAATCCTTCTTTTAGATTTGGTTTCGAGTCTATGAAGTTCCTGAGCTGTTGTTTATCTACAAAATGGTGTATAAGTCCATCTTGTTTGAGTGACAGTTTAGCTAGATAAAGTATTCTTGGTGAGGCGTTCAGTCCATTGATTTTTTCACTATATCCCACCATTGTCTTTGGGTTTGGAGAGTTTCCTCTGATAGGTCTACTGTAAATCTAAGGGGTGCTCCTTTGTATGTGATTTCCTTCTTTGACCTTGCTGCTTGCAGTATTGTGTCTCTGTCCACAGCATCCATCATTCTGACTATGATATGCCTTGGAGTGTTTTTATTTGGATCTCTTTTAGCTGGCACCCTTCTGGCTCCTTGTATCTGTATGTCTGCATTCTTTTACTCTGGGAACTTTTCAGCAACGATTTCTTTGTGCCTTTTTCATTCGGGTTGCCTCCCTGTCCTTCTGGCACTCCGATAATTCTAATGTTCTTCCTCTTGGCATCATCCCCTAGTCTCTAATTCTCCTTAGATCTTTTTTGAAGTCTTTTCCCATTGTTGTTCCCTATGAGATTTCTGTTTCTCATCGTCAAGCTGCAGTGATCAATTTTTAAGGTCATTCAGATCTGTGATATTTTCCCTACAGGATTATATTTATACCAGTATCAGAGCACTGGTACAGAGCGAGTACTATATTAGCCAACCAAAATAAGATTAAAGGGAGCAGATGGAGCAATAATATAGTGGTCTGGCATTTATCTTGCATGGGGTTTACTAGAGTTCCATCCCGCACCACTTATGGTCCTCTGAGCACCTCCAGCAGCAATCCTTGAGTGTAGAGCCTGGAGTAAATTGTGAGAACTGCCGATTGGGCCCCAAAAGAATAAGGGGTAAACTATTTCTGTGTCTTAATGAACACTATAGTTTTCATACAAACAATATCAATGTACAAAATGACTTTGTTTTCCACTAACTCAGTGTATGTAGAATTTTTCCAGATGAAGGAATATGGGAGCATTAACACTAAACCAAATAGTACGTGTCATGTACATCAAAGTTACTTGACGAATTTTTATTCTGCCACATGTATATGCCTTTTATGCACGTGACACAGAAAAATTAAAATATAGACAAGAAAAATGAAAAAATGCAAAAATAACCACCACATAAAATACAGTCACTAATAGTATTTTTGGGCTGGAGCGATAGCACAGCAGGTAGGGTGTTTGCCTTTTACGCAGCCAACATGGCCAACCCGAGTTCAATTCCTCCGCCCCTCTCGGAGAGCCCAGCCAGCTACCAAGAGTATCTTGCCCGCATGGCAAAGCCTGGCAAGCTACCCTTTGCGTAATCGATATGCCAAACACAGTAACAAGTCTCACAATGTTAGTGGGCCCGCTCGAGCAAATTGATGAACAACAGGAGGACAGGACAGTTAGTATTTTTGTCTACCACATTCTAGACATTTAATAGATGTTTTATGAACAAGACCTACTTGCAAGGTTACCAAGCAGGATCTACATAGTTTTAATTTAGGCTAAATAACAAATACTGGATTTTTTTTTCTCTATAGTTTCAGGCAACTACACTTGAAAATGAGATGCACGTTACAAAATCATTAAATGAAAGCCAGAAATTATGCTTTTCAGTAAGAAGCAAAGTGAATATTTACTGTGCAGAGGATGGAATTTGGAGTGAGTGGAGTGAGGAACAGTGCTGGAAAGGTATGAGAATAAAGAACAGTAAGTGAACAATAAATGATTTGTGGCAAAATTAATTTGTTATATTTAATAAATTATGTAAATAAAGTGATCTTAAATGTAGTATATAATACATAAAAGATAATTAGCGAATACCTCAATAGAATATAACTTTCTTGATAATCCAATATTCACTTTTAATGAGGAGTTCAATTAGTAGTTAAACTAAGTTTTGTGTTATCAGCATTCTTATTTTCTTAAGTGTCATTTATACTAATAGTTCATTTTTGGTGTGAGTCTATTTGGAGGGTGACCAAGGTTTTGAATCACACCCTGTGGTGCTCAGTGCTTTCTTCTGACTCTATGCCCAGTGACCACTCCTGGCAGTGTCAGAGATTGATCCCAGGTGAACAATGTGCAAGGAAAGCTCTGTAAGTCCGGTATCATCTCTCTGGCCCCAGGAGTAAGGATATTTTACCAATGATTTCTTATACTTTTAGCAATATAGAAAATTTTTTCTTCATCTTTTATTTCAACACCATGATTTATAATGCTATCAATAATAAAGTTTCAGACATGCAATACTCCAATACCATACCCACCACTTGAATGTCAGCATTCTTCCAACATCTAAAGATTCCCTCCAACAGCCCCTTGACTAACTCAGTTCTGCAAGTCAACTCTCAGGGTCCGTTGCCATTGGCTACTTGTTCTTACCTTTCAAAGTTTTTTTTATATGAGAGGTCATTCTAAATCTTTCCCCTTTCTTCTGAAATATTTCACTCACCATACCTTCTGGTTCCATTCACATAGCAGCAGACTGCACATGGGTTGTTTGAAGATTCTGGTGATTGTGAACAGTTCTGTAATGATCACAGAAGTGCAGATGGCTTTTCTGCACTGGAGACACTTTTTAAAAAATATATGAGATTTTGCACTGGGTTTATGGTACTGTTGCCGAGAGGGTTTCATATGTAATAGTTTACCTCCTTTCAATACCATCTCCTTCTCCTGGTTAAACACTTCTCTTCATAGATGTTGCCATTTTCCCTGTACTTTTCCCCCAGCCCTTTTTGGGGCGGGGATTGTTGTAAGTTCCAAGAAATAAGAGTTTCTGGATCAAATGAAAGCTCAATTCCCAGGTATTTTAGGAATGTTCATATTGTTTTACATAAAAGCCTGACTAGTCGATGTTTCTACCAACAGTGACTGAGAGTCTCTTTTTCCCTGCATCCATGCCAATACCATTTCTTCTTATTATTTTTGATGTGTGCCAATCTCTATGGTGTGAAATGGTATCTCATTGTTGTTTTGACTTGCGTTTCCCTAATGATTAGTGATGCAAAACACATTTTCATATGCCCTTTGTCTCTTTGTATTTCTTCTTTGAGGAAGGTTCTGTTAATCTTTTCTCCCCGTTTTTTTGATGAGGTTCAATGTTTTTATTGTAAAGTTCTACCAGTGCCTTATATATTTTTGATATTAAACCCTTATCATATAAGTGTTGGGTAAATTATTTCTCTCATTCCATGGGTTGTGTTTGTATCCTGGTAATCATTTCCTTTGAAGTGCAGAAACTTCCTCATTTAATGTAGTCTTTGCTTTGTAGTTCATCTTTGCTTCCACTTGCTTGGTCATTGGTACTTCATCCTTAAGAATGTCTTAAGCTTCAATGCCATGAAGAGTTCTGAATACACTTTCTTCTATGTTCCAAATTGTGTGTGGTATTAAAAAGAGGTTTGAGTTCATTTTTTGCATATAGCTGACCCATTTTTCCCACCACCATTTGTTGAAGAGATTTCTTTCCTCCACATCAAAATGTTTCCCCTTTATCAAAAATTAACAAAAATTAACTGACCATCACTTGAGTGTTTGTCTCAGGATATTCAATCCTATTCCATTAATATAAGGGTCTGTCTTTATTTCAGTACCATGCTGCTGGTTTAATTACTACCACATTGTCATACAGTATGATGTTGGGAAAAGTGATACCTCCCATCTTTTTTTTCCTGAGTATTGCTTTATTTCTTCAGAGGCATTTATTGTTCCACATGAATTTCAGGAGTGTTTGATCTATTTATTTGAAAATTTTCATGTGTATCATTATAGGGACTGCATTAGATATGTACAATGTTTTGGGAGTATTGCCATTTTGATAATATTAATCCTCCCAATTCGTGAGCAAGAGAAATGTTTCTATTTCCTCAAACCTATTTTATTTTTTGAAGTGTGTTTTTATAGATTTCTTTGTATAGGTGTTTCACCTCTTTACTTAAGCTGAATCCGAGGTACTTGATTTTCTGAGGCACAACTGTGAGTGGTATTGTTTTAATAAATTATATCACATTTCCTTTACTCTCTGCACATAAGAAAGCCACAGAATTTTGCATGTTAATTTCATAGCTTGCCTGCAACTTTGTTACAGAAATCTATGGTTTCTAGGAGATTTTTGTGTAGTCTTTAGTATTTTCTAAATACAGAATCATATCAAAACAAATAGTGAGCTTGATTTCTCCTTTTCCTATCTGGATGCCTTTGATATATTTTGCTTGCCTAATTGCTATGGAAAGTACTTCCAGTATTATATATAATAGAAGTGGTGACAGTGGGCAACTTTATCTGTGCCTGATCTTAGAAGGAAGCCTTTTAGATTTTCTCCTTTTAGTATAATGTTTCTGTGGGCTATGATAAATGGACTTATTTATGTTGAAAGTTTTCAATTCCCATTTTGTTGAAAGGGTTTATAATGAATGGGTGCTGGATCTCATCAATTTTTTTCTCTTTTTTATTGATATGATTGTATAGTTCTTTCTTTTATTCATGTGATGCATTATATCTTTGGCTTGTGTTTGTTAAACCATCCTTACATATACATAGACTAATCCCACTTGGCCATTATGCATGATCTTTTTGATAAGTTATTGGATGCAATTTGCTACTATTTTATTGAGTATATTTGCACCGGTCTTTATCAGGGAAACTGGCCTGTAATCCTCACTTTTTAGATATCAAAGTCTGCTATATAAATCAGAGTGAGGTTTGATCTTAGAAAACTTTTTGATAACATTTTTTATTAGTGAAACACCATGAGGTACTGTTGTAGACTTACAAACTTTCGTGTTTGGGTTTCTGTTATACAATGATCAAGTACCCATCCCTCTACCAGTGCCAATCCTCCACCACCAACGAACCCAGTTGCCCTCCAACCCCCCAAGACCAGCCCACCCCACCCCACTTCTATGGCAAGGCATTCCCTTTTGCTATCTCTCTCCTTTAGGGTGTTGTGGTTCATAATAGAGGTATTGAGTGTCCGTCGTGTTTGGTCTATAGTCTAGTTTCAGCACGCGTCTCACATTCTGAGCGAGTCTGCCAACACCCTTTAATTGGTATTCCCTCCTCTATCTGGGCTGCGTTTTCCCCCAGCATGTGCTGCTGGCTTCCAAGCTGTGGATCAGACCTCCTGGTACTTATCTCAACTATCTTTGGGCGTTCATCTCCCATTCTGTTAAATTATATTACCAAGATGAGTGCAGTCTTTCTATGTCTGTCTCTCTCTTTCCGACTCATTTCAATCGCATGATACTTTCCATGTAGAACCACTTGTTTGCGAATTTCATGACTTCATCCTTTCTAACTGTTGCATATTATTCCATTTTGTACATTACCGAAGTTTCTTTAACCAGTCATTTGTTCTAGAGCACTCAGATTTTTTTCCAGATTTTGGCTATTGTGAACAGTGCAGCAATGAGCATAGAAGTGTAGATGTCATTTCGACTATAGTTTTTGCCTCTCTGGGATATATTCCCAGGAGTGGTATTACTGGGTCAAATGGAAGCTCAATTTATAAATTTTTGAGAATTATCCATATTGTTTTCCAAAAGGGCTGAACCAGTCGGCATTCCCACCAGCAGTAAAGGAGGGACCCTTTCTCTCCACATTCGTGCCAACACTGGGTGCTTTGGTTTTTTGGATGTGGGCTAGTCTCTATGGTGTGAGATGATATCTCATTATTGTTTTGACTTATAGTTCCCTGATGATTAGTGATGTAGAGCATTTTATCATGTGCCTTTTATTTTTTTAATTAATTTATTTATTTTGAATACCCATCCCTCCACCAGTAACCATTTCCCACCACCACGGATCCCAATAACCCTCCCACCCCCATCACTCCCATCCCACCCTGCCTCTGTGGCAGGGTTCTTTTGTTCTCTCTTTTGTTCTTTTGTTCTCTCTTTTCCATTGGTTGTTGTGGTTTGTAAAAGAGTTAAGCCTGATTTTCAGGGAGAAACGTTGGATAATTTACTTTCCATTGATCACTTTATATATAAGGAGATGTCGTGCGGCTGCATAAGCGGCTGCACAGTTTGGAGTAAAAGTCCTGGTTCCTGCATAACCGAGCTATGCTTGTAGAGGCTCATGGTCACTGGGGTTCCATCTGGAGGAGGCAGGATGCGGCACCTACCCCATCTGGGACTTCCCGGTAACCTTAGCTCTCTTTGGGACCTGGAGCATTCTCCAGGAGCTGTGGAGACACCCCCCCCTGCCCCGCGACCTTTCTTCTCTGTGGGTGTGTGATGTAAAGATGGCGCTGGGGGGCGGGTTGTGGACGTGACTTCCAGAATCAGAGGTTACCTGGGAGCCGGGGCAGTCCAGGAAGTTTGGAGTAAAAGTCCTGTTCCCGCATGCAGGAGCTGTGCTTGTAGATGCTCATGGTCACCGGGGTTCCATCTGGAGGAGGCAGGATGTGGCACCTACCCCATCTGGGACTTCCTGGTGATCTCAGCTCTCTTTGGGACCTGGAGCATTCTCTGGGAGCTGTGGATCCCCCCTACAGCCTTTCTTCTCTGTGGCTGTGTGCTGTAAAGATGGTGCTGGGGGGTGGGTTGTGGGCGTGACTTCCGGTATCAGAGGTTACCTGGGAGCCGGGGCAGTCCAGGAAGTTTGGAGTAAAAGTCCTGTTCCCGCATGCAGGAGCTGTGTTTGTAGAGGCTCATGGTCACCGGGGTTCCATCTGCAGGAGGCAG